GGAGCATGAGAAGCTGCAGAAGTACCAGGGCCTGAAGGAGGAAATAGAGAGGATGTGGAAAGTAAAGGCCAAAGCAGTCCCAGTGGTGTAGGCGCACTCAGGGCTGTGACTCCTAAGCTGAGAGAGTGGCTCCAAAAGATCCCAGGAACAGCATCAGAGCTCTCTGTCCAGAAGAGTGCAGTGCTAGGAACAGCTAAGATACCACACAGAACCCTCAAACTCCCAGGCCTCTGGTAGAAGACCCAAGATTGAGGAAGACATTCTACCAGACGGGTGAGAGGGGAGAGAGATAGATAGATAGATAGATAGATAGATAGATAGATAGATAGATAGATAGATAGATAGATAGATAGATATGAGAGAAATGCAGTATGTACACATTTGGAGGATGGGCTGGGGAATTGCATTCTATGGAAGATTGTAGTTCAGTTGTGGAGCTCCCGTTGGGCATGCAGAAGGTTCCAGATTCAAGTTTCAGCATACTCAGGTAGTGCTGGAAAAAACGTGGTGAAAATGAGAGCTGTTACCAATCAGTGTTAGCACCACTGGGCTAAATGAATCAGTGATCTGATTCAATATAAAACATGGCTGCAAAAATCTGGATAACCACTAGCAAAGAGTTGGGTTTTCTGTATTTTTCCTGCCATCTAGTGCTCAGTTGGATTTTTCTAGTTGAGATTTGATAGCACAATATAAGGTAGCTTCTTGTATTTTAGTGGACACATGGTACCGCTTCTCTGCCCTATACTCTTGCTTTTCCCACAAATAGCAAAATAATTTTTTCAAATAGATTACTATTTGCCTAATTTAGGTAGGATACAACATTGGAGAAAATTTGGAGTATGTCATTGAGGAGCAAATCTCTTTATGTGACCTTCCAGTTCTAAGGTATTGGAAAGTTCATGCAGTGCTACTAGGACCAAAAGAAACTGGAGAACTCAACAAGGTAACTACAGGCTCGGAACTAAAGGATGAGAAAAAACTGCCCAGGCAAGAGCTTCCAGACCTCCGATTCCTTCAGGTATGACTAAGTTTGGGAAGGATCCAAGCCACTAAGAGTTATCACCACCAGGCCTACCAAATCAGGAATGCAAAAATGCAGATGACCACTACATGGCAAGCACTGGAATTTCTGTATCTATTTGCTGTCATCTAGTGATCATCTGGAACTCCACAGTCCAGATATGGTAGTCCTACCATAGTTTGATTTTTCCTCTAGCTTAATGGCAATATCAAGATAGCAGTTGTGTGAGGCAATCACAGGTCTCCTTCACTGAGGTTTCCTTCACTGGGTGCCTGCAATTCAGAATAAGGAGGTTCCTCATTTTGACAACCAGATGATCCTAAAGAACCAATCAGGGGCCATATTATAAAGTTCCAAGAAGATTTGCTATTGATCAGAGTACTTGCCAGTACTTGGATCTAAAAGGGTTAGTAACAGAATTGTTGAGCTTGTCTCCAAACCAGTATTTAATGGTTTTGTCTTTCTTCCAGTCCTACCTACTCTTTCATCCCCTACCACAGATCTGGATGAAAAGTAGTTTGGAATCTCTAAGTAGGTTATTTGCTGTAGGTCTGAAATAGATTTCAGTTATATAAATGAAAAACTAATTCCCAGTCTAAGCCTAAGCTCAGAGAGGTGAACACAAATGCTCTTCTGAAATTTTCTACCATTTTATTTATTTATTTATTTATTTAATAATAATAATAATAAATTTATTTAAATTTATTGGCCGCCCAACTCCAGTGGACTTTGGGTGGGGTACAAAACTAGAGAAAACATAAAAGCAGCTAAAAATATTTGTGGCCAGAAAAGTTGGTCCCTCTGATTTTACCAAGGAAGGAGAAATATTCCAACCATCTCTTAAGGGCAGGATTCCCCTTAGCATTGATTGTAGCATCATGGCTAAAAAAGCCCTAGTAGAGAAATTGCTTCCTGATGTCTTCACGTGGCATTTAACTGAAACTAGGAAAGCTAGAGGCTGCTGTTTACTAGAGACATGATAGTTCAGTGAAAAACAGGGCATTCACTCACATCTGTTTGCTACATCTGAATTAAAGGAGTGCAAGAACACCAAACCCCACCCAAGAGAATTTATCTGAAAATATTTTCTCCTTTGGAAGGATTTCTAAAGCATTTTATATCAAATGGATGAGGCAGTAGAAGAGGTGTTTAAAAAAATAAATGGGGAATTTCTCTGCCCAGGTGCATAATCTCCTGAGATACCATTCAAATACTTCACTCTAGTTGGTAGATCTTGTTGGATCTAAGAAAAAAGAAAAGCCAGTCACCCATATCTGAAGTTTGCCTATCTTGCCCTAGTCCCCCCCACAACAAAATAGTATTTTGGATATTATACTGGTAATGCCAAAAAAGTTAATACCACTTTACCAATGCCCTCTGAAATTCTTGAGATAGCATTCATCTGAAATGAAACGATTATCAAATGTATGGTATTATTGACAAAATCTCATACATCTCATTAAAAAGATCCCTTAGACGGTAGACAGCTAAATATAAACAGAGCCAAAAAAAGTTTTCCTCTACGGCAGAGATTTGCCTCTTCCTCCACTCCGTAAGGTTCACCTGAGCACGCTATTCTTTGGATGTGAATTGGAGTCACCAGTGTGTCTCTTCATTATCAGCTGGAAGCTAGCTTTATCTAGAAGCCTGCTTAGTCTGTAACATGAATATCTATCATAGGGGATAGAAAATAGGATCAATGTGGATAGAGTTTGTACTTTCTTGATATAGTTGAAAAATTACAGAATCTCATACAGTATACTGTATAAAGCATTACTAGGAAGTTAAATAATCCTTTTCCCTAATTCTTTTTGGAACAGCTTCTCCATGATGGGCAGTTTTCCAAGCTGTGGCAAGGAACATTCTGCCAGCAGCCTGTGGCCATCAAGGCTTTTCCCCCTTTGTGCCACCAACAATTTGCATCTGAGTGGGCCATGCACAGCCTCCCATTGATGAACCACGAAAATGTGGTACGACTTGTGGCTGCTGGATATGGGGGGCCAAGCGAAGAACGGTGTGGCCTCCTGGTACTGACACTGTACCCATTGGTAAGCACCATGGGCAGGAATGGGCGAAAATGATTGGAGTTATGTATAAGAAAGTGAAAGTGACCTTGTATGTGTCTACATGCCAACTTTCACCAGTATATACGAATGTACATATGTATTCATGTCATTATAATCACATCACCATCAAGAATATGGATAGTTTACTTTTTGCCATGGAAGTTAGAGATTTGGGATTTCTAGGACTAAATTCAACTTCACTGGATTCTCAGATAGCTGTTTTTGACATGGAGTACATTTCTAGACCTTAAGGCTTTGGTGAAATGTTAAGAAACAGGATTTATTTCCAGCTCTGCTTCCAAATGTTTACAAATTAAAATGTCAGATAGTAGGGGTGGGATGACGGGGATGAGAAGGAATCATTAATTGCTAAACCAACTTCTGCAGCCAGCAGTATAATATTACAATAACATGTTTACTAAGTAAATGAAGTATCAGAACCTGGGCCATCTCCTCATTGCCCAGTCAGAGCCAGATGGTCATGGTTTGCAGTTCCTCTCCCTACAACCCAGTAACTTTCTTCCATTCCCATTCCTTCTTCAATGCCTTAATCTGAATATAAATAAATAACACTATTTTAAAAACCATTTTTTAATGCTATACTTAACTTTGGATGAAGAATCAAATGATCTTATGTCTGTAACATTGATATCTTCAGCTGCAGTACTAGTAGAATTTTTACTTTTCTCTTTTTATCTTCAACACTTTAAGCTTTCTAAATAATAGAATGTTTATAATTTTAATCATATTACATAAATATTACTGCACTGAAATCTGCATTGAAATAATACAAGGTATCAAGATTTATAACATTACAATAAAAGGGAAAAAATCCCACATCTGGGCATCAGAGGAGTCTATTATCCAAAATTATTCTGCCAGTTTGCTTAGTCCAGACACATCCATCGCCATAGTTATTAAAAGATGGATGCTTATGTCAGCAATCATGAGTTTGGATCTTAACTGAGTTAGTTGCATTTTCTTGGAAGGGATCCCTGCGGAACTTCCTCAGCCAGCATGTTTGTTCCTGGGATATCAGCATCCAGCTCGGATCATCCCTTGCCAGAGGCCTTGCTTTCTTACATGAGGAACTATGGAAGGAAGGTATGACACAAGGATATCCAGCAGGAAGCCACAGAATGACTTTTGTTCTGCAGACTTCCTGCTGGACCAGTTCTGAGCTCTACAGAGTCCTGAGGCACCTGCCCTCAGGGGACCGAGCTGGCTGGGTATCATCTATTTATAAAATCCTCAATCCAATACATAAACATCTTTACAACTAACAAAGATGTTTACATATTGAATTGAGGATTTTATAATGAAAGATGCTGTAGTTGGCGGGGAATTGTAACTACAGGGAAGAGCTCTTTTATTTTATATTCCATTATCTTTACCACCCATTCCATTTATCTTTACCATAAGGAGGAGTGTCTTACTGGAGAAGGATCAAATCAGAAAACAGTAATTGTCAGAAGGTAAATCGGAATTCAGCATTGATATCTAGGGGGGTCTGGCTAGATCACAAAGAGTATCCAGTTCTCACAGAGTAGATTATTAGACATATTACTCAAGAAAACCTCCTCCTTTTTAAGTTAGACCGGTGAGATGCAAGGAAAGATAAATAGGAAAGCAGCCCCAGACTTAGCATAGGGTCAGAGGCATTTTTATTCCTTAATTCTAAGAACTGTCTCCCCCCACTACCACTCCCAAAACACTATTTAGCACCTGGCTTCAGGTTCTATTTAAAAAAAAAGTTTATATTTATTGTATTTACATAAAACATGTATATACAGATTCTATTATTTTAAAAAAATCAGAGTGGTTTATACAGCGAAGTACAGTACAACCTGTAGTCCTAACATCTCTCCATACCCTATGTTGAGAATGTGGGTAAGAGATACCTGCTAAGGCAAGCAGACAAGGATACCAAGACCCTCCCTCCTAAATGTATTGTTACTTCTCCTGTAAGGAAAGGGAGATTAACTGGAGTCAGAAAAAATGGAATGGTAAATCCTTTTCAGAATCTCTTTGGGAGGATGCATGTTAAAAATGTTCCTGCCTGAGTTAGTACATCACAGAAAAAACGGGCAGCAATCTCTCTGATGATCTGTTGTCTCCACGCAAGTTTTTGCACTCAAGGTAATTGGAAGCTGCCTTCATTTGATGGAGTGTTTTGTTCCTTTATTTCTGAATCTCGGAGCAAAACATTAATTGAACATTTGGCTTTAAGTTTAAAACTACTACTAATTTAATTTCTTACCCCTGTTCAAAGCGTGGGTATGTATCTAGATTTATACATAGATATATGAATTCAAAGCAGGAATATTCCAGCAGCCTTTTATTCACCTGAAAAATACAAAAAAACTATCTTTTTTGGAAACTTCAGCATTTGTTAAGTACTATAAGAGAGGGAGAGGCTTGGCAATAGGTTTTTCTCTGAACGAGAGCCTGCATTTTAACCAATGGTTCCTGTAAACCTAAGGTAAAACACTCTACATGGGTTACCCTCCTCTACTTTTAAATTTACCTGGAAAAGTTTTAAGGGGGGAAAAAGTGTTTTCTTGCTGGATAAGGGGAGGGATAGGCCAGCTTTCTAACAGTTATCCAAGAGATGTGCTTCAGAAGTTGGGGTGAAAGCCATAGTCAACTCTCTTTGGTTCTCAGCACTTTTTTATCGAGCTGCGCTACAGCCAAACATGAGTGAATTCCATTTTGGCATTATAGCAAATGGCCTTTGCTAGAGATCCTCCCTGAATTTCTTTAGTGACCATCATTGCATTTGTAGTGGCCAGTTCCATAAACACATGAAGGGCAGTCCGTCAATATTTAAAATAAAATAATGCCAGAGCTAATATTAATAATGACAGTTGTGAACTCACCTGACACATCAGTTTCTGTGACTGAGATGTGGTACCGCGATTAGATGGCAAAATATCTCTTTTGTCCTTTCTGCTGAGCCTAGTCAAAGTTTGCTACTCTGGTATCCTGCAGTCGTTCCATCACCATCAGGCACCAAGGCAAACAGAGTTAATGGAAATTGAGATTCAGTAATGTTTATAGTGCCAAAGATCTGCCATTCCTGGTCTTAACTGACTGCCAGCCAGCTCTTTAGGGATTCTCATCACCTGCTGCCCGATGTCTTTTAACTGGAAATACCTGGGCTTGAACCTTATGAACAGAAAGCATCTGTTCTTCAGTTAATCTATCTAGGCTCTTTTTAGCTTGGTTCACATGACATGCTATGCCATAATCTGGCGTATGAGATTTTTACTTAATAAAATTTTTTACTGAACCAAGATTAATACTTGATCTTGGTTAAGATGACAACTTCATTGAAACTTGTTATTTTTCCATGATGTCAGGCCTGCATAAACCTGGGGTGGCGCATCGTGACCTGAGCAGCCAGAATGTGCTGGTGCGGGAAGACAGGACCTGCGTCATAACTGATTTTGGCCTTGCCATGACACTCCCTCTGCAGCATGAGCAGTCGAGAAAAGGTCCTGCAGAAGGCATTGTCCACAAGGTACCGTATACGACATAGAAAATTCAAGAGAGACACATACTGTTAAAATGTGGACAACGTGGGTTTGTTTGTTTTGTTTACTGACATTTAATTCCCAAGCTCTGGGCAGCTAACATCCAAATAAAACTCATAAAATAATAATCATCCTAACAGAGTTATAACAATAGTAACAAGAGATTACCCTGTGATATTCAGTCCAGTAGGGATACAGAATCAGTATCTCTGGTTTTAGTACCACCTTTGAAACGTGACAGCATACTGGTGGTTCTGTATCGTATTGTTCTGAGATAGACTCTGTCAAATATGGGCGTAACCAGTTCTTGTCCTAAGCAGGAATTGTACATAAGCCACTGGCATCATTCACTGGCGTTTTCTCTAGGCAGGAGCCCCACGTTACATAGCTCCCGAAATTCTGGATGAGAACTTGAACCTGCAAGATTTGGGCTCTGCACTGAGGCAGGCTGATGTCTACTCCCTGGCACTGGTACTGTGGGAGACCCTGATGAGATGCTCTGCACTTTTCCCAGGTAAGCAATTATGGAATTCCATAATTCCCAGCCTGCATAGCCAAAGACCCTTGGCTGAGAATTATAGGAGTTGACATCCAGCACATCTGAAGGACATAGGTTTGCCAAGGTCTCCTCCAAAGAATGCTGGGAGCTGTAGTGTGATGTGAGTGCTGAGAATTCTTTGCCCCCAAGCTACAGCTCCCACAATTGGCTGGCCGTAAGGAAAAGATTAACTGGAACCTGCTGTTCATGCCAAAAGCAACTGTAGTTTATGTAGAAGTCCAACATTTTAGGGAAAGATGAATGTGTGCTGGGTAGCAGAGGGAGGGAACCACTATAATGAATGCTTCAGTGCAAGCTGGCAGAAAGAGTGTTAACTATCATTGCACATGTCATTTTATTTTTATCGTTAGTTATCTTGAATAGAAAGGTGGGATATATATTTCAGTTTTTACTATAGTCAAAACTACATGGTTATGGAGAAAATTTATCTATGTGGCACATAATCAATTTAAGAAAAACTACATGTCCATGTCAACACCAGGAGCTGAGTTCACTTGAGATTTTCTCCATACCATGGTAAAATATATTCCCAATTTAGAAAGCCCATGGATGAATGCAGGGGTGTCCTCTGAAGAACAGAAAGGATGAATTCCTTTCTTCCTTATTCCTGGAAAGCTCAGAATGGTAAACTGTTCTGTATTAAACAGTATTATTAAACCATCTTAGACCAAGATTCTAACTTTAAAATAGGAGCTGTATTTGAATCATTTCCCCAGTATTAAGCTTCTCCCCTTACCTCTGGCCATATCATCTGTATCATATTCTCTCTCACACACACACAGAAATACACACACATGAACTGGGTTTATATATTGTGCAAAGTCATGGTTTGTTTAGCCATACTTTTTAGAACAAACCACAATTGCTGGGTCCAAACAATACAGTAACCATATACCATGCTTTACAAAGAGCATGACTGAGCAGCAGAATGTTTGAACCCAACTTTAGAATCTTGCAGCAGAAGCTCACAGGGGAAGGGAGGCTGCAGAGAAAGGAAAGTTGGAAACTACAACTTTCTTTGGAGTTGTTTCTGCTGTTCAGATGAGCAATACAGCTGGCAAAGGGAGATTTAAATCTCCTTCAAACACTGCTCAGCTAAGCAGCAAAAAAACAGTTCTCCCCATAATCTTTTAGCTCAGTGCTGTCCAAACTTGGCAACTTTAAGGCTGGGGAATTCTGGGAGTTGAAGTCCAGACATCTTAAAGTTGCCAAGTTTGAAAAACGCAGTTTTAGCTGCTCAGTTAAGTACAGTAAGTGGAAAACAGCAGAGAGAAAAAAGACAGCAGTTGTGGGGAGGGTAATCCTTGGCCCGATGGGTGTGAGAGATTGTGGGGAGGCTGGGAAAGAAACAGAATGGAAAGTAGACATAAACAATCAAGAGATAGAAGGTGATTCAGTTGGCAGCTTATCTCATAAATGGCAACTTAGTCCAGGTGGCAAGAAACATGCGAAGAAGCGTTTCAAATCATTCAAAGAGACTCTGCCTGAATTTATATGCTACAAATGAGAGTGGGAAATTCCTGTTATAGATTCCAAGATTCTGCATTTACCCAAGGCTAACATTAAATGTACCTTACTGTCATCTAGGTAGTTCTTTGGTAATTTTGCCAGCTGTGTGGGTCTTGACAATGGGGATACCCTGCAGATTGGGTAGTCCTGATCTGTTTTTGAAACTCAAGACTTTTTTGTTGTTCAATTACTCAGCCGTTTCCAACTCTCTTCATGACCTATGGACATCATTTTACTAGATTTATTCTGTCAGTAACTGTTTCTTTATGTTTTTGTAAGCTTATGCTTGTGTCATGTATAGTAGTATCCAACAACCTTCTGTCTGTCTTCTGATAGCCTCTTTTTCAATCATCTTCAATTTTTCCAAGCATTGGGGTCTTCTTCAAAGACTCTTGCATCCTCATTATGTGCCCCAAATATATCAACTTTAGCATCATTGTTTGTCCTAAGGGAGACTTTCCCTGTACCTCATAATGGGATCCTAACACAACAGGAGGAGGACACATTACTTAACATACTTTGATTGTTCTTTCAGGGACCATTCCCTCCTACTGCTAGCTAGAATTACAGTCCTAATGATATCCAATTGTCCTAATATGAAGAGTATAGTTGATTTCTTTTTTCCCAAAGGATGAGAATAGTTTTGACTTTAACTGGTGGAATTTATATTTCAGAAATGAGAATGTACAAACATCTGCTCACTTCTTCCAGGTAGTTTTGGATGAGCCCTTACCATAAATGAACACAGACACCACATCTGAGAAGATTCAGTCTGAAAGCCAAGTTGGCCTAAATTAGGTGTAGCCTCTGTGGAATTTGAGTTTCTTTTTCTTTTTTAGGATCAATTCAGTTACTACTGCTTCTGTTACAGATTTGATTCATTTATTATAGGCTGTCAATAATCTTATGCATCGCAGAATGTCAGGATGGGGGGTGGGGTGCTGTTTGCTAATAGAGCAGGGTTCCTCAACCTCAGCAACTTTAAGATGGGTGGACTTCAACTCCCAGAATTCCCCAGCCAGCATGAGAGTTGAAGTCCACCCATCTTAAAGTTGCCGAGGTTGAGGAACCCTGTAATAGAGGATCTGGCATTGAAATTGAGTGTTTATTTGTATTTGAATCCAGAACTCACCCTTGCGATTGATATTATTGTGATAATAATATTGTACTCCTAACAAGTTACGATTTCATGATATACAGTAAGGTTAAATGCACCTCCTTTCCTGCTTTGAGTGCATATGTCTTTTGGGGCAGATGTGTGGGCAGAGCTCGGCTGGGCCCCAAGGCAAACCTCTCAGACTGGCTTTCCACTACTGAGGGACCTGAGCCCTCTTGCCCAGCTGCTGCCATTGAGGGGGGGCAGGAGAAGGGGGGGTCATAAAGTTACTTCTTCTCGGCCATGGCCACAGTAGCAGTCTCCCCTCACTTCTTCAGCCTCCTTTCTTGCCTGAGGAGAGAGACAGAGGCGTCTGGAGTTGGCCTTGAAGAAGGAATTCAAGGACCGCTGGGTAAACAGCAGGTTAGCCCAGATGGGAGGGGAGGGCGGAAGGAAAAAACTCAAGATTGCTGCACATTAGTACAAAAGAGGATAGAGAGAATCTCCTTCAGATTTTCCAGAGCTTATTATCATACCCTTTAATAATAATAATAATGCAGTTGAGTTCCAACAGTTTGCACGGTGTCTGTTTCCTGACCTGATCTGCCTCAGAAGGGCTGATAAGGTGAGGCGACGGGGCTGGTGTAGCTGAGGATGCGACAGCTGGCTGTGGGGGAGTAGCCGCTCCTCTTCCCTCCCCCGTCCATGCCACTTGCCTGCTGCAGCTGCTCTCAGGGCCCTGGGCAATGTTGGTTTGTTGCAGGATTTAAGGTGAAGCGACAGGAGGACAAGGGGGAGACTGGGAGTCCCTGTGCTGGCAGCCCCCAAGTGCAACCACCCTTGCCTTCACTGTTTGCATGCCCCGTGCATTGCTATACAAGGTTTTTAAAAAAAAACACAGAAAAGCCTATTTTTTGTTTACTCACAGAACCAATATCCTGTTCTGACCAAGAAAGAGAAACTGTTCCACGGACCTGTTTTTCTTCGCAAATGCAACCAACCCATAACAGGTGTGGTAGGCAAAGAGCTGCCGCCTGGTGTCTTCTGGCCCACTCCCACCCATCTCCGTATCTACCCTAGAAGGGGCACTAGAGGACCTGATTCCTTGCTTTTATCATGATCTCAACCAGTTGCACTTATAACTGAGAACAATGTAACATGCTGAGGTTGTGAATGGCCACCCCTTGCCTGTTTGAGGCACCACACTGTGGCTTAGTCGGATTCTGTATAGTGGTAATGGTAATTTCTGTTTTGTGGCAGAAGGAAGAATTTCTTCTACCTTGGTAGCACTACCCTAGGCCAGCTCTGCCAAGATATAAGCAGGGGGGTGAGCATACAGTGGTGATAATGGTGTGGGTTATGCTGCCATCTGGTGGCATTTTAGGAGCACGTCCTGCCCTCGATCAACAACAAACGCTTACCGATTCAGCTTGAGAGGATAAAGCTGAACTATAGACTTCCGGGGTGGGGTTACATTATCTTGGACTCAGTCTCATTCAGCTTCCTTCATCCTTTCCCCCTCCTCTTCCTCAGACTTCGTGCTCTTTTAAATCCCTTGAGACAAGAGGCTTCTGTTGCTCTGAGACATGATGTCCAGCAGCATCGTGGCTCGTGTCTTTGCACAATGAGATGGGCTATTTCAAGAACAACATGGTCAAGAGCACCCCAGCCTCCCTGGGCAGCAGCCAGGGCCCCAGACTCCTAGCAAGACCCACTGCTAAAGGGAAAAGATGGTTGAAGGAGAAAATATTGCATTTCCCAAGTCAATAAGTTGGAGCTTGCAATCTGGGAATGGGCCGTGTCCTCCAAGCAGAAGCTTTTCCTTGAGAGGAGAGGCTGGATTGGTACACATCAGCTGGGCACGTGTTACTGAGAGGCCAATAATGTTTAACAGCAATATGTATCTCTAGTAGGAAAGTTTTTATCCCTCTACAGGTAGAGTGAGGAAGTGCAAATTGTTGAGACTAAAGGCCATCTTTGGCTTAATGATGCTGAAAGTTGCTGGCCAGAAATGGTCAACGCTTCAGCGGTTCGAGTCCAGCCTTCGCATTAG